GATGAACTGTTAATTTGATTTGCTGCATGTATGGATTTTCATTTGAAAGCTGATGGGGCACAGACATTTTTTCTCCAGAAGAAAAAGAGCTAGAGTAGAAATTAAACCCTACTTCAACTTTTACCAAGAAAGCTCACACTGATTATCTGAGCACCCACATTATTATATATGTATATATGTATTGATTGGTCTGGTAATTTTTCAAATTGCTAGTTTCAGAAACAAATCTGAATACCTTAAACACTTCAAGGAACTTCTATTTATTTATTTATTATACTTTAAGTCCTAGGGTACATGTGCACAACGTGCAGGTTTGTTACATATGTATACATGAGCCATGTTGGTGTGCTGCACCCATTAACTCATCATTCACATTAGGTATATCTCCTAATGCTATCCCTCCCCCTGCCCCCCTCCCCACAATAGGACCCAGTGTGTGATACTCTACTTCCTGTGTCCAAGTGATATCATTGTTCATTTCCCACCTGTGAGTGAGAACATGCAGTATTTGGTTTTCTGTTCTTACGATAGTTTGCTAAGAATGATGGTTTCCAGCTGCATCCATGTCCCTACAAAGGACACGAACTCATCCTTTTTTATGGCTGCATAGTATTCCATGGTGTATATGTGTCACATTTTCTTAATCCAGTCTGTCACTGATGGACATTTGGGTTGATTCCAAGTCTTTGCTATTGTGAATAGTGACGCAATAAACATACGTGTGCATGTGTCTTTATAGCAGCATGATTTCTAATCCTTTGTGTATATCCCCAGTAATGGGATGGCTGGGTCGAGTGATATTTCTAGTTCTAGATCCTTGAGGAATCACCACACTGTTTTCCACAATGGTTGAACTAGTTTACAGTCCCACCAACAGTGAAAAAGTGTTCCTATTTCTCCACATCCTCTCCAGCACCTGTTGTTTCCTGATTTTGTAATGACTGCCATTCTAACTGGTGTGAGATGGTATCTCATTGTGGATACCATCGTGGTTTTGTGGTATCCATTGTGGTTTTGATTCGCATTTCTCTGATGGCGAGTGATGATGAGCATTTTTTCATGTGTCCGTTGGCTGTATGAATGTCTTCTTTTGAGAAGTGTCTGTTCATATCCTTTGCCCACTTTTTGATGGGGTTGTTTGTTTTTTTCTTGTAAATTTGTTTGAGTTCTTTATAGGTTCTGGGTATTAGCCCTTCGTCAGATGAGTAGATTGCAAAAATTTTCTCCCATTCTGTAGGTTGCCTGTTCACTCTGATGGTAGTTTCTTTTGCTCTGCAGAAGCTCTTTAGTTTAATTAGATTCCATTTGTCAATTTTGGCTTTTGTTGCCATTGCTTTTGGTGTTTTAGACATGAAGTCCTTGCCCATGCCTATGTCCTGAATGGTATTACCTATGTTTTCTTCTAGGGTTTTTATGGTATTAGGTCTAACATTTAAGTCTCTAATCCATCTTGAATTAATTTGCATATAAGGAGTAAGGAAAGGATCCTGACAAACCTGACAAAAACAAAAAATGGGGAAAGGATTCCCTATTTAATAAATGGTACTGGGAAAATTGGCTAGCCATAAGTAGAAAGCTGAAACAAGGAACTTTTAAAATGCATTTTAAAAGTAATGTAATTACTTTTAAGTAATTACAAGACATGTAATTTATGTGAAACTTCCTTTTGTTGTTCCCACTATTTTTTAGTTATGTCTGGAAATATCATCTGGACAAAATATGTAGGCATTTTATAAATATCATTTAATAATTTTCTGTTTAATTAGCATGTTTTTTTCAATTCTAAGGCTCTCTTAGTGCTGCATGTTAGCATTCCAAAATCAGGATGTGTGCATTGTAATTTCAGTGAACATGTCATTGAGTGTTTCCTGTCTGTTTCATCTCTCACTTCCCTACCTCGGCCTCCCATCCCCACCCCCAGCACCAAAAGGCTGTTATTGAATCTATGTTGCTTCGTGGCCATTTTAGAATTTAGGGTCTGTGGAAAGTGCATGCTTAGAGGATGGATGGCTCTCATTAACTTGGCAAAAATGAGGGAGTGGGAACATTGTCTGGATAAATAAGGCAGGAAAAGAATTCCTTTGATTTCCAAACCATTATCTCCCCCATCCTCTTTATTTTGAATGTGACTCTGTGTATGTCTGACAAGTGTGAGTTTGAGAAGACTTTTCTGCAATGTCTAAAGGAGCATAAAAAACCATATCAGGTGCCTTACAATTATCTCTAATATTTTAAAGTTATTTTAGTAAGCTGATAAGGTCAATTAGTTATTGATGCTAGAGGGAACAAGTTTCCTTTTACCTAGAGATTCGGTTAAAAACCTTAAAATCTTAAAATATTAAATTAAGGGAGAGTTTTAAATGTTGTCCAGCCTAGGCAAAGTCTAGATAGGGAGTATTGTCCTCTAGGAACCTTCTTCTAGCTTTGGGTCCAGGGTTCTGTTTGCTAATTCCTCAACCCGATGACTATGAGAAGTTCTTAGACTCCCTACCCATTACTTTTGACCTTAAAATACAAGCATTTAATCCAACTTAAATTTTCTGGTTGCTATAAATGGATTAAGTTGCTTACCCCTCAGCAAAATGTAGGAGAGATTTAGGGGTCAGACAGACTATAGTTCAAACCTCAGTTGTGTCACCTCTTAGCTTTGTGACTGGTCATGTTACTTAATGTCTCTGGGCCTTAGTCACTTATTCAAGTCATTCAAAAAATGATTGGTGCAAAGGAAATGTGCCAGCACAAGCCTAGATGCTGAGTATACATTGCTAAACAACACAGACACAGTTCCTGCTCTTAAAGAGCTCTGCTCATGAAAATTCATGAGAATGAGTTGCCAATTACAAAACAGAGGATACGTTCTGTGATAAAGATAATCTCAGCTTGGTGATGGGGGCACATGGTACAGGCAGGCCTTTTGGAGAGATTACATCAAAACTGAGATGTGAAGCATATTAGTAGTAAGGCAGTTAGGAGGAATTAGGAGTGCCTTAACTTCCTCCACTGTAAAATAGGGGCACACCTTCCTTATTGGGTAATAGTAAGAAACAGAGACAATGAATATAATGCATCAGGAATGTGCCTGACAATTCAGCATAGGGTCAGAAAACATGTATTGAATATGTACTACTCTAGGCAATGGGATTGAAAAATGAGTAGGAGGCTGACCCCATCCTCCTGGGTCTTGAAGGCCAGAAGTGTAGCTCTAGCTCCCTGTATTGTCTCTGTTGCTCTTGCCCATTGTATTGTACTTGCCTTTTCACATGTCTGAACCAGGAGACTTCCCGAATCCAGTGTTGGTGACGTGGTGCAACTGAAGACATGGAGCATAGCAGTAATGGTGGCTTTGCCAGAACAGTTCTACTTTGAGATGTTTGAGCACTGCTCTTTCCCTTGTGGTCTCCCAGCCTGGTTCTTTGATCCTCTTAGAGATTCTTTGAGCTCTTCAATATCTTTATATTTCTTTCCTGCCAAAATGCCAAAGTTTGTTTCTGTAGCTTGTAACTAAGAATGCTCTCTGTTTGTGCCCATTAGGATCCAGCCGGGAAAATGGCCTCCTAGGTCTTTCAAACAGATTGGATTTAATGCAGATACTTGGTTAAAAGGGTGGTAGAGAAGCTGGAAAGTCCTGCAAGGAGCAGGGAGTAGCCCAGCAATTAGTACCAGCTAGAAGCTGCTATCACGCTTAGGGTTGAGGGACAGTGAAGGAAGAGCTTATTGTTTAGCAGGAGGTAGAACCACAGTAGGGGCTGAAGTAGGCTGTAAGTCAAAAGGCAGTTGACATGTACATGTAATAGAAGCTCAAATACGTTTTGGCTAAATGAATAAAGAGAATAATCAGGGAGAAGTCCAGGACCAGAACTGTATGTTATACCAAATCTAAAAGATTAGGGGAATAAGAAGATTCCGTCTAAAAAGAAGCAATCAGAGGAGGAAAACAGGCAGAGGCAGTGTGTCCTGGAAACCACAGCTCTGACATAATCAAATCTGCCAGACTCTTAACTGAATTTCTACCAAATAGACCTCTGAATTCTTCACTGAGTCCAGATAGAAGATCCAGAGTGCTTATCCATAAGCTCTGGGCATCATAGCTTCTAATCCAGGCTCTTCCCTGGGTAACTTGTGTTATTAAGTGAGGATAACAGTGCTTGCCAATTTTACTTGGGCAATGAATAAGGAAGATTTTAGAATACTTGGCAAAAGAGAGAAATGTGTCACAGCAGGAAACTTAATTGATAAACTAGAGATAAGCACATTTACTCTCACAGTTTTAATTTATGGACTGTCCTATATGGCTTACATGAATAAAAGGAATGTATTACCTCTGTTAGTGACAGCGCTGCCTTACTGCGTAAGAGAAAGCAAAGGTCTGTGACATTTATGAGAAGAAACATGGTCAAAAGGAAAGAGCATAGTTCTTTTTCTTTCTTTCTTCACTTATTTATACCTCTTTTAGTAATAATTATTAATTTTTAGTATGTGTGTATATTTATGTTAAAATCACATACATTTACGGTGTATAACATGATGTTTTGAAATATGTGTAAGCTGTGGAATGGGTGAATTCAGCTAATTAACATATGCATTGTCTCACATACTTTTGTGTATGTGGTGAGAACATTTAGCATCTACTCTCAGCCCTTTTCAAGTATACAATAAATTGTTATTAACAGTAGTCACCATGTTATTCAATAGATTTCTTGAACTTATTCCTCCTGTCTAACTAAAATTGTATAACCTTTGATCAATATCTCCCCACTCACCCTTCCCTCAGTCCCCAGTGCCCACCATCCTACTCTTTGCTTTTAGGGGTTTCAATTTTTTAGATTCCACACATAGGTGAGATTGTGCCTTGTCTTTCTGTGCCTGGTTTATTTCACTTAATATAATGTCCTCGAGTTTTGTGCATGTTGTTCCAAATGACAAAATTTCCTTTTATTTTAAGGTTGAATAGTGTTATGTTGTGTATATAGAACATGTTTTCTTTATTGATTCATCCACAGATGGACATTTAGGTTGGTTTCATCTCTTGGCTACTGTGAATAACGCTGCAATGAACACTGGGATGCAGATATGGGGAAAAGGTATAGATTTAATCTCATTTTAATCTCAGCTCTGCTGCACATTAGCCTTGTGATTTTAAACATGTTTTACAGTGAGTTTCAGTTTCTTGATGTTTAAAATGGGTATCATAATAATAATTCCTGGCTTAGAATTATGAGAATTTTTATGATTATGTGGGCGAAGTTTCTCCCAGGATGCCCACACAGGATGGGAACTTCATAAGTATTTGTTCCCTTCGTCAATCTCTCCCCTTCCCCTGCCCCTGCTTTTGTTAAAAAAACAAACAAAGAAACAAAGAAACAAAAAAACATTGCTCTAACCTAGGGGAAAAAGTAAGAAAGTAAACTGAAATACTTTTTTAGGACAGAAAAGCTAGCATGAATTGGTTTTATAGAGAAATACTTAAAGGATTTAACCCCGCCCCCTCAAACTTCATGTTCCTGCTCATTATTGAAAGCACCAAAATCCCTGGGAATTATAAATCCAAAGCCATTTGGCTCAGAATTTTACATGTTTAAAAAAAAAATCATCTGCATTTATTTTGCTTCTTACAAAATCATCACTTCCCATAGCTGTCATATACTATCAACTTGCTTATCTTTTGTGTGAGATTTCATGCTTAGGTGGTGTCTTGGTGTTTCTGTGACCCAAGCAAGGAGTTCCTGTGACTGTGTCGCACTGTTTCTTCTTCACACGGCTGGAAATACGATCGCCTCTCAAGGCCTATCACAAAGGACTGGCCCTTTGCTACGGGTCGGCAATAGCAAGGAGTGTTGCCAAGATACAACACAAAACAAAACCTTTAGGTCTCCCTCTGGGTTTCTGGAACAGCTGTCTCTAGCTCAGCTGCTGAAGTTTCAACTCCTTCATTGAAATCCAAACACATCTGTACCCCAGACAGGAAAATGCCTAGTAAGTTATTTTCCTCCATGCTGGTTCGTCTTGTGGTTTTTGTGCAGCCCTTAAAGACAGTGTGAGTGCTGAGGACCTCAACAGGTCCTTTGCAAGGACAGAGGTGCACCCGGTGATGGGTCACTCGTGGAGAAAAGTGTCATGACACCTGGATGTTCACAACCCTCAGGCTGTTCACAGCTTGCCATGGCTTTGAAACATCGTGTGGAGCTCAGACAAATTCAGGCCTCACTGAAGTGTTTTCCTCATGCAGGCAACCTACATGCCTTCTCTTTCATCTTTTTATGATTATTTGGCAGAATCCTTTTTTTATTCATTTAATTTCAGAGCACAACAGTGATATTTATCCCTTTATTTATATGTCAGTTACCTGCGTTCAAATGTCAATTTTTAGTATTGTGACTTGCTGTTTTAGGAAATACTATTTCAAACCAAAATGTATTCTTTCTTTTTTTTTTTTTTTAAAGGGTGATTGTAGTGTCAAGTCAAACTTAACTCATGTTCTAGGTAGAAGAGGTAAAAACAAAACGTTTTCCCTCCTTCATAATTAGGTTATCTCTGCAGGTTCCTTTTCCAGACAGGAAAAACCCTTTCAGGGTAATGGAGACCCATGTTATGGGTTCATGGAACAGCAGGTTCTTCCCTTCCTGGGAATACTTCCTAGCAGTGTGGACTCCATGCTGGGCACTTCCACCATGACCTGCAATCTTGAGGCTTCTCTTAGAACTTGGTGCTCCAGAATCACTGCAGCCTCGCCGGTTCTCCTGTATCCTTCCTTCCTTGCCTCCTTCTTTATTTATTTATGCTAACCAAATGCCATAGTTAACCAAGTCCTGTTCCTTGAGGATTACTTCAGATGCGTGTAGTTATTTATTTTAATATCTAATTCCATATTCTAAATAGAATACTACCTCTACACACTTCTATTATGGTAGATAACAATTTCTCCCTTAAGTCCCTTTTCCCTTCCTTTATCCTTCCAGTTTATTACATCGCAGTTTTCAAGATTTGCATTATTCTGACAATGGAAATATTTTCTGCTGAGCTAAGGAGCATACTATCATTATAACTCCTTTCTTGTTCTATTATCATTTTTTCTAGAGCTGATAATTCACTCATTTAAAAAATGACTTAGTTTTCTCTGTCTGTGTTACTGTCTTTGCTTCCCCTAACATTTGGCAATATTCAAGACATTGTTTTCATCACAGTATCAGTGCCGCATTTAATTTTTTTATAACTCTATAAGGCAGGTAACTATAATCTGTGTTTTACAGATGGGAAGCATGAAGCACAGAGAAATTAATTGGCTCACATAAGATGGGAAGTGGCAGAGCCAGGACTTGAACCCAGGCAGTCTGATTCCTGCACTCACGTTCCAAAGCACAAGACATACAGTATCTCGATGTATAACTACCTACATTAGCAGCTGTACCACCTAATCTAATTAGTTGAATTTTTTTTTTTTTTTAATGGAGCTCTTCCTCCATATGTCTCTGGACCCTTGTTGCATCTGTATTGCTTGTTTTCTAAACCTATGTATGGTTATCATATTAAGACTTATTTTCATTATTGTCCAGGGAATTTCTTTCGTCTTCCTCCTGTGTTGATTCCTTATTTTCTGGATATTGTTTTGTCTTTCTTGCATTAGGTGAAGCTCATCTTTTAGAAGACTTCTTGAGAAAAGGTGCGTGGGTGAAGATTTCTTAAATCTTAAATGTCGGAAAACATTTGTATTTTTCCTTGCTAGTACTGAGTATTTACTGCCATTTTATTCTTGGTCTTGTGTTTGTGACCTATTGTTTCCTTTCTTGAAAGTTTTACTGTCTTCCTGGTGTACTGAAGTTTTATGACACAGCTGGGTCTTTTTGCATTTATTGTGCTAGATGCTGAATAGGCCTTTTCAATCTGGGGACTCATGTTCTTCAGGTCCAAAAAATTTTCCCATAATCTTTTTCTTGATATATTTTTTTCTAGATCCTATTGGTAGGATGTTGGGCCTGCTGCACTGGGCTTTTAGTTTCTTCTGATTTGTCTTCTATTTTTTTCTTAATATTTTGAGATATTTCCTTACCTTTATTTTCCAAATCTTACACTCACATGCACACATAATTTTAGTTATCATATTTAAATTTCTAAAAAACATTTTATTTTTTAAACAATAACCTTCACTTATTTCTCTTTTTTTCTTACTAGCATCCTGACTTTAAGGATAAATAGCTTATCTTATACCTCTGAGGTCATTAAACATAGTTTGATTAAAGTTTTCCTCTTTAGTATCTTGTCTCTGTTTCTTTTGAGTTTCCTTTCTTCTGCTTTGATATCTTTATCTTTTATGCTGGAGGCTTTCTGGAAATGTCAGATAATTCTTGGCTATCTGTTCATATTTTAAAAGTTAGATATTTAAAAAATGCCAATAGGAAGTTCTATGCACTAGAACTTGGCTTGTTGCCTATAAGGTGCACCGTGGAATAATTGGTCGAACTGGCTTTTTAATTTTTGGGATCCCTATAGATCAGTACCTATAGGTCTTCATTATTAGAAACAAGCTGCAGAAAGTGAAACCAAAAAAATTAAACTCCATGGACGACCTAGTGTTTTTGTGTAAGTCTGTCTATGGGGTAAAAGTGGATAGCTTTTTGGTGTGTACACCTCCACACTGTCTTCTGCGATGAATAATCACTTTCATGTGGAGTTTACAAACCACCAGAATCACTAAGAGGACCTGTGATTTCTATGTGCCTTCATTATTTGCTTTTTTTTTTTTTATTTTTATTGGACTGTTCTGCTGTTTGACAAAGAATTTTACCACATGCCAAACACAAGGTTTTGGGAAAGGTCCTCATATTCCTATGTGGAATATCTCTGTTCCTGGGCATGGGGTGAGCAGGCATTTGGTGACCTCTCTGCTTATGTTGCCTGGTACCCTGAGGCTCTGGCAGAATTACTGTGAGGCCATTCACCTTGGCTCAGCCTGAAATCTACTCTGACAGATTTATTGGCTCTTAAACATGTATCCAAGCAGAATGTCTAAACCAATATAAGGTTTCACTCATTTGCACTCTGCAGGGAGAGAAAGAGAGATGAAAACTGTGAGGGGTGAAACTCCACAGAGATGTAACTCCGCCCCAACCTCATCCTTGCATATCTACCAAGAAATGGAATTTATCATTTCTTTCCTATTTTAGGTCTCTTTTCTATCAGAACTTTCCTCAGTCCATTGGTATATGAAAAGTACATTGAGGAAAGGTAATAAGATCATACAATCAATAACTGCTTTATTCCTTCATAACATTTGTTTAATAAGGGAAAATATTGAATAAGATATGTAAGAAAATTGCGATCTTCTCTAGCTGTTCTAGGAATTGGGATGGAGAAAATGGTTTGAATCTAAATAAAAGTGAATTTAGAGCAATAAGAAAAACCATGTAATGAAGATCAGTACTAACATTATCTATATTTTATTCATGAAAAAAATATAACTTAGAGAGGTTAAATGACTAGGCACAGCTTACTCAGACTGTAAGTGGTGAAGTCACAGCTCAGTCTCAGGTTTCAGTTCCAAAGGTCATGTATTTCTATTGCACAGTCAGTAGTCTACAAACCTGACTGACACAGCTTTCTAGCTCCACCTACTTAGCATACTGATAAAACAAAGCTATTTTGCATACATAGCTGAAACAGAGACGGTAAACAGAAAGAGAAAAAAAAAAAAAAAAAAAAAAAACAACAGAGGAAATGTCCATGTGCCACAGAGAAGGAAGAATCTTATAGTCAATGTGGTAAGTGCATGAGCTGATGCCAGAACAGTGCGGAGGATATTAGACATGGCTACAGGACCTAACAGCTATGGGTTAGGCTTTAACACACATATAGAATAAAGGACTTAAACTTGGGCCTGTGAAAGGTGAGGACTTAGAACTGAAGACTTGCTTCCCTCATACAAGGGGACTACAAAACACATTGTTCATGTTCTAGAAAGCAACTGATAAAATTCTCACTGATTAGATGTCTGGATGAGAAAAAGTTCCCCACAATAAAGGGAAATTTTAAAACCTGTGCTGGCTGGGCATGGTGGTTCATGCCTGTAATCCCAGAGCTTTGAGAGGCCAGGATGAGAGAATCACTTGAGGCCAGGAATTTGAGACCAGCCTGGGCAGCATAGCAAGACCCAATCTTTATAAAATCTCAGAGCTCTGAGAGGCCAAAGTGTGAGGATAGCTTGAGGCAAGGAATTTGAGACCAGCATGGGCAACACAACAAGACCCCATCCTTACAAAATATAAAAATAAAAAAATTAACTGGTCTTGGTGGTACACCTATAGTCTTAGCTACTTGGGAGGCTGAGACAGGAGGATCGGTTGAACCCAGGAGTTCAAGGCTGTAGTCTTCTGTGATTGAGCCACTGCACTCCAGCCTGCATGATAGAGCCAGACTCTGTCTCTGGAAACAAATCTGTGCTGTGCATAGGTATAGAATCCAAATTTTACGCTATTTGCATAGTACAGGAATCTCAAATGGATATATTAATGTAGACATCATAATTACTTCAAGCTAGTGAAACTCTTGGAGTTTCCAGAAGAATCAAATATAAAACTGTCTAAAATGTTACTACCACATCTTAAAGTACACAGGAATGCCACAGGGAAAAAATATTCTAGCTGAAAATATGTTCACAATGAAAAAGAAGAAACCAAAAAAAAAAAAAAAATGGTCCAAATATGGGGGAGTCAGCAGACACATGTGAGAGAACTAGCACCCCCAAGAACCTGAGATAATGTAACAGTCTAAAACTGTCTAGAAATTAAATATATTTACACTCATTAAAGAGATAAGGAGAGGAATAAAAACTCTCATGGAAAAAACAGGACATGAAAAAGGAACAGGAACATCTGGAAAACAACCAAATAGAACAAAATGAAAAATTATGGATAAAATTAAACATAGTGGCCAACTTTAAAAGCAGATCAGGCATGGTTGAAGAGAGAGTTAGTGATATGAAAGCTGTATCTGAGGAAATTACCCAAACTGCTGCAGAGAAAGATAAAGAGGGCTACAATCCAAAAGAGAAATCAAGAGATATTGAAGATTACATTAAAAGTTACAACTTAGGTCTAATGGAAATTTCAAAAGCAGAAAATGGAGAAGGGGCAATAGTTTAAGTGAAAATGGCTCTGAATTTTCCGGAACTTATAAAAGGCAGAAGCAGATTGAATTTTCCAGAAATTATAAAAAGCAGAAGCAGATTCTCAGATTGAAGCAGCGCACTGAGTCCTGTGCATATTATATAAATCTACAGCTAGATGCATCATATGAAGAGCAGAACAGTGAAGATAAGATAATTCTAGTTGAAGAGCAAGTGGAAAGAAAAGACAGACAATATATGAAGGGACAATTATTAGAATAACAGGGGACATCAGCCCAATAGCGACCAGAAGACAAGTCTGACCAATCATCAGAAACACCTGAGAAGCACATTAAAATACAATGTAAAAACTATTTTATTCCTTACCACCATATACATAAGCACACATATATGTACGTATACTCATACATACTGATCTCGAGTCTATAATTAAATTTACTTCCCAGCCTCCCCCATTAAAAAAATGAAGGGATTGAAATCATAACCAAGGATAATTTCTAAAGCATTTTTTCCCCAATAATTTCTAGAGTAACCATGCTACATAGTGCCAGAAGTTGATCACAAAAGAACAAGGAAAAGGAGTTAGTACAAACATCTTTGACCTCACAGTTCCATTTCTTCTTCCATCTTCACTAACATATGCATGATTAGGATTGAAGGACATGTTGTTTTGGCTAATAACTCCAGAATCCTGTGTGTTTGTATGATGAGATGAATGAATGACCCCGTGTTTGTAGAACCTTTGGCAAGATATGCTTCCTATCTTACTTGATATTTCATATCAAATGCAGAAGGACACCTTGACTTGCCAGTACCAGAATTTAGTCTACTTTGCCTTTATAGACATCTGTTCTCAGACTAATGGTTGTTTATATAATTGCTATAATAAAGGATAATTCCACATTAAAGTAATACTGGGTACAATTAGAATACTTATAATAGCCATGCTTTTTGAATTAGTAGCACTACTTCCAGGAATCTATCTTAAATACCCCAAACATACACATACAAAAACGCTTTGTATTCAGAGATGTTCATTCCAGCATTATATATGATGAGCAAAACTCTGGAAGTCTCTAGAAGAGTTGAAAGGCAGTAAAATCTTGTTATATTGTTCCAGACACATATAGTACTGTATTTGTTTCTTGACTTGAACTCTTTACACGTATACTTTGCTTTTCCCCTTTCAACAGAGAATGCTTGGATAAACAATGGTCTAGCCACATGACAGAACTATGCCAGTATAAAAGTTATACTGTGAACAGTCAGTTCAAAAAAAGAAGAAATAAAAATGTGCCATATACATACAAAGAAATATCTAACCTCATTAGTAATAAAGGACATAATTTCATTGTCACCCACCAGAATACCACATAGCTTTCTTTAATGATTAGTAATAGCCAGTGTTGGTGAAGTCGTAGAGAAATGGATATTACTTTGCTGCTGGTAGTATAAGTTGGTATGTACTTTCCAGATAAAAACTTGGTAGTATGTAGCCAAAGTCATAAAAATTCATGTAAATTATTTTTTTGCTTAGCAATTCCATGGGAAGTGTGTGTGTGTGTGTGTGTGTATGTATTTATGTTTACATATTTTAAAATTAGGACAAGTATAACATTTCTTATATTATGAAAAATTGGGATATATTAAGTATCCAAAAATAGGAATTATTTAAATAAAATGTGATGTTATACAATGGGATACAGTTAGAAAAGATATCCATAATACATAGGTAATAATAAAAATTACAAAATTACATATAAAAAAACAGTAATTTTGTTAAATTGCTGACAAGAACACATAAAATGTCAAGAAAGAAATGTAGTAAGAATTAGTAATGATTATCTCTGAACGGTAGAGACAATGGTGGTATTTATTTTCTTTGCTTTTTGCATAGCATTTTCTTTTACATTTTGCAATGAAGTTTTAATATTTTAATAAAAATAAAGTATAAACTTAGATC